GTGGACGGGGATCTGGCCCCCAAGGGGCAGCGCGCCATGAGGATGCTGGCCCGGCGCCTGGCCGCCCGCTTCCCCAGCCTCCTGGCCCCCGGCCGGCGCCTGGCCTTCGCCAGCAGCTCCAAGCACCGGTGCCTGGACAGCAGCGCCGCCTTCCGCGAGGGGCTGCGAGAGGCGCTTTACGGGCCGCGGAGCGACGACGGGAGAAACGGTGAGGTCGCTCCCCTGCCCTCCCCAGGCCAGGAAGGAAGGAAGGAAGGGGGGGAAAGAAAAAAAAAACTTCCCTCCCCCCCTCAAAATTGCGTATTATTTTAAAAACACTTTCCCTCCCCCCTTTGAATTGCATATTATTTTTAAAACACGATCCCTTCCCCTTAAATTGCATATTTTTCTTAAAACATTTTCCCTCTCCCCTTTGTTTCATAGAACATTTTCTCTCCCCCCCCCCTTTAAATTGCATATTATGTTATGGTCCAACATTGTTTCCAATACAAGTACTTTTTCTGCACATGTCAAAGCTTTTACTTTCTTTGAAGTTAAGGTTCAGTCCTGCAAACTAAGCTAGATTTTTTCCCCCTATTAAATACAGTAGACTGGAAAAGAAGACTTTTCCGGCGGGGAGGGGGGGCTATCGCAAAGCTCTTCTTTTTGGGTCTCCAGTCACAAGGGGCTGGACGACTGCTCCTATGCTCTTTAGCCAGCCTGGTGGAGGGGCTGTGGATAATGGAGCAGATAGAGAAAGGTTATGTTTTAAATTCTTGACCCCTAAAGTCCCTTCATCTGGAAGTAGCTGCATTCAGTAAGCAGGTTTGGATTTGCACTTCATTAGAGCTCCCTCCCTTCCCTGATGGCCTTTGCTAGTGTGTATGTGGAGAAAAAAGACCAAGGCAGAAATAACTGCACAGCTAATATGGACAAGATATTAATTCTTGCATACACTTCTCTTCTGACTGTAATTAAAAGCATTGTTACTCCTTGTTTGCAGAGCCCTTTCCATAACATTTCAATTCTGCCTGGATTTAACAGGCAGATCAAAAGATCTGTTGCCAGATCCCATCCTTGCTTGTTCCATCAATGTTTTGATCCTTTCTTAAATTGCCATCGCTTTCCTTTAAGGAAGAAAGAAAGAAGGCATATCTTTCAGCACCTCTTAAATTTATGTGGTTAATACCACATTTATTATTAACTCAAGGAAGACTAAATTACAGGCATACCTCAGCGATATTGCGGGTTCAGTTCCAGACCACCGTAATTAAGCAAATATCGCAATAAAGCGAGTCACATGAATGTTTTGGTTTTTCAGTGCGTATAAAAGCTGTGTTTACACTATACTGTAGTGTATTAAGTGTGCACTAGCATTATGTCTAAAAAACAATGCACATACCTTAATTTTAAAAATTCTTAAGGTAAGACATTGAAGTTTGCCACATCAATTGACACTTCTTTTCATGAAAGATTTCTCTGTAACATGCAATGCTATTTGATAAACGCAATATCTCTGAAGTGCAATAAAGCAAAGCACAATAAAACGAGGTATGCCTTTAGTTCTTTTGTATTTGCTCTGCCCGCAGACTGTACATTGCCCTCTAGCTGCACAATTTAAAAATCTTAATCATTCTAGCACATGCAGACTCCATAATCCAAAGTATTCTATCACTAGAGACATTATCAGCATTCCCATTTATAGCTACCTGGTGCTGAGAGAAAAAGCTAGATTACAGGGAGGTTTGTGTGTATTGACAGTCCTCAGATCCACCTTTGACCATTGCTTTCCCAATGTTTGTGGTATGATTTCTTGTAAAACAAACAAAACAGAGATCTACAGTGTGGGTTCTAAAATAGCCTCAACATAATGCATTAAACATGTTCTAAATTCCCATTAAAGCTTAGGGGGAGGCAGAAGAGAGAAAATTCTGGTTCCATTCATTTTGGATCATTAGCCACTCACTGTGGCTCTCAACCACCCACAATATTGAATGCAGCCCCCAGCCATCAAAAAGTTGCCCATCCTTTTCTAATGCAGGCCTTCTTAGGTTACATTTCATAGCTTTGGAAGCAGGGGGTGATAGTTCCAGCAAATGCCATTATGGTATAGTAGGTAAGGTGTTGGACCTGGAGCAGAAGGTCCCAAGATCCAGTTTACCCTCAGTTCTGGAATCTCATGAGTGACTCTGAGCTAGTCATTCTCTTTGGACCCAATGTAAATCCATAGGGTGATTTTTGTGGAGAAAAATAGGAAGTGTTATGTACGATGCCAGAGGCTATCAATCCAATATATAAATAACAGTAGAGAAGCTGAAATAATAAAACCAAGTTCCATTTTATTTAATTTCTTGTTTGCTTATTTAAGATCAATTTTTGTGTGTGTGCCATGTAAAAAAAACCATACTTTCTAACTTATTTGACTAAATGAATCACATTTTTTAAATTCACTAAATGCATACACAAAAAGAGAAAGTATGTATGAAATTATAAAAGAAGAAAACAGAATGTAAAAAAAAAAAGAATTTTTGCACTTGGCACTCTGCATTGGCCTTTCAAAGCAGATGTTCTCCATGTAGGGAATTACCTAGCTATTTGGGAACAGAAAACAAAGGAAAACTGTTGTTGCTTTTGTATATAATCACTGCCTGTTTATTTTGTTTCTGTTAACAAGACCTAGAGCAGAGAGGATTTCATGAGGCTTGTGTATATTTTCATATATCATTCTTATTAAATGTGTATATTGAATGTCCTATGTAAATAATAATTATAGTAAATGGAAGGTATTTTTGAGTAGGAGTTGAAATAATATTCAGGCGTAGATTGGAAAAAATGTATTTGCGCAAGTCTAATTTTCTTATCTGCTCATAGTATTCCTTTATATTGAAAGCTACAGCCAGCAGGTGGAAAAACTAGCCTGATTCATGTTGGCTAAATGTACTTTTGTTTTATTACTACTTGGAAGTTGTAGAAACATTACAACATATCCAGCACTCCTAATAGTTAGGATCTTGGAATTGTAGACGATCACAAGCTGAATTTGAGTGAGCAGTGTGAGGTGGCTTCAATAGAAGTATGATTTCTAAGTCTCAGGAAATAATACCAATATAATCTGCATTGGTTAGAGTTCAGCTTGAGTACTGTGTCCTATTGTCAGTAGCACACTAAAAGAAACATTTAGAGAAATGTAAATAAATATAAAAAAGCAGTGAGGAAGAATGATCAGGTGACTTGAAAAGAAGTCATCTGAAGAGAGAATACAAGTATACTTAAGAAAAGACAAGTGTGAGAAAATACAATAACATTTTTCAAGTTCTGAAGTGCTGTCCCTTAGAAGGTGAAGATCTGTTCTCTGTTGCCCCAGAGCACAACAATGGTCTTAGGTTACAAGAAGACAGGTTTCAGCTGAATATTAAGAGACTTCTCAAAGTAGTTCAACAGTAGAACCAATTTTCTAGAGGCGATGTCTCCCTTTCACTAAATGGGTTCAAACAAGGGCAGGGTAATCATCTGTCAGGTATGTTTTGATGTCACTTCTTGTACAGTGCGGGGGGTGGGGCTTATTGGCCTAAATCAGTGTTTTTCAAACTTGGCAAATTTAAGATGTGTGGACTTCAACTCCTACAATTCCCTGCCAGTATGCTACCTGGGGAATTTGGGGAATTCAAAGTTGCCAAGTTTGAAAAACACTGGCCTAAATTATCCTTTCCAAGGCTATGATTCTGTGTTTCATGTCCATGAGTGTTGGAAAGATATATATGTACTTAACTTGTACTAAGATTCCAGCATCTTCAAACTACAGTGGCATGTCTTTGACCTGTTTCTTTTGATCTGTTTGGAAAATAAAATGGAAAACTGAATTTTGGGAAATGATGGCAATGCCAACATTTTGAGAGTGGGGATTAAAGAACTACAAAACTGGGACAATGTATCTCTAAATCGTATATTGTTATTTCAGTACCTATTTGGTAGGTCACCGTATTTCAGGCCAGTCTCCAATTTTGTGCTGTGCTTTGAAGGTACTCAAAAACATCAGTGAAAACATCAGTAAAAAGAATTTAATCCCTGCTTTGTTCCCCATGTATTTGTACATGGATAGGCCAGGCCAGACTGAGAGATGGCTAACAATACTCTTTTTTTCTCAGCACCAGTGGCTTGATCAAGCAGTAATTAAAATTAATTAATTTAAAATTAATTTAAAATTATTTAAAAGTAATTAGTGTATTAAAACCAGTGTTCCTTAATGTCTGTTCCACAGAACACTACTGTTTTGCTAACAACTTGCAGATGAGCTGTGAGTTTGTGTAAGAATAGTTCAACACTATGTATCCATTCCCTCACCAAGATGCTGCTGTGTATATATGGCAGTGCAAATCTTCAGAAAGGGTGTCCTAAGGCATCCCAAGCAAGGAAATCACAACACTTATCTTCAACTCCACAAAGCAATGTAACTTGAAGAATATAACTGGCTGCTGTATTATGATTAAAACATCTTTTGCACCTGTGCAAAATTTCCTGTCAAGGCATCACAGTGTGTGGAAATGATGGTTGTGGTTACCTAACCCTGTCTGAAGCACTGCAGGTCCGTAGGGCACAGCATGGCTACACAGAGGCTACTGAAGAACATCAACAGTAGAAGTACACCTAGTTCCTGCAGCCAAACATGGCAGACAGCACAAGCAGCTCCATGATCATATCTGCAGCATGGGATCTCCTGGTCTACTGTGCAGTTACCAGGTTGTCCAATCCAATATCACAGCCTGAAACAGCCCTTTTTTGGTCTGGCAGTTGGCTCACGTTGGACAACACCAAGCTGTTTGGACCTCTGGATAGAACAGGGGCCAACACCATCACATCCAAGGCCTAGATGCCATGTTAGGGCATTGTTCCAACTCAATCAGTTCTTCAGTGGAGTCTGCCTCGTGCTTGATCAGGTGGGCCCACTGCTGTTGCTGCTTCTGGTGGCATTCTCTTTGGCCAGTAGCTTGAAGCAGCTGCCTGCAGCTCTCCCCTTTCAAGCCATACAAGGCCTGATATCTGGTCTTTGAGCTGTAGCCATGGAGTGATGCCTTTTTCTTCTTTTAACGATACAATCACAGGTCTTTCTCATAAAGACAGCACTTTATTGTTTGATGTTTCATAGCCTTGAAAGCAGTTCAGTCAGATTCAATGCAGTGCTTTAAATTTGATTCTGAACACCTGCTTTAGAAGGTAGGGGAGCTCCAATGTAGCACCTCTCTGCAGTTCTTTAAGGCAGCTATGTCATTTCCCAGAATTGTACGGCTGTGTGTTGTAGCTGCCATGTGGTCCTAGAAAAAGATGTGGCTGTTTTAAAGCATTGTAGAGAGGTGCTGTGTTCACCCCTGCATGTTCCAAGGCAATTTTTTGGAATCACACATGAAACATTGCATGGCCCCAATGCTTATGCTGATTATAAAAGATACTAGTAATGAAAGCGTGAAATTAATGGTACAAAGATTTCATGAATTTTTAGCAAGAACAATAAAAAGCTGTGATACATACACACACACACACACACACATATACATACCATACAGATACACACACACGCACACACACAAGCAAATATGCCAATATATTTTAGCCTTTGTTTAAAATAGTTATAAGATGTAATTATATAAAATAATTATGAGAGACAGTTCTCCCAAAGTGACACAAGATTCCATTGTTCTTTCTTATGTTTTTAAATGTATTATCTTTATTTTTGTAACAAAACAGTCTTTAATCTTAAAAAAAGGAAATCTTAAAAAGTTAAAAATACAAACTACTAAGAAGGAAAAGAAAAAAAAAATCTACCTTATATTTTATACTTATCAATAGTCACGGGTTTGCCAATGAATTCACTACTGTAATATGAACAATACAAAATATTATTGTAAGAGATCACAGAATATCTGCCTTATTAACACATATTACTGTACCCTTTGATTGGTAGAAAATACTGCCTTTTCCAAAATAGATCACACATTTCTAACAACCACTCCTTGACATCTGGGATAATTTCACTTTTTCAATTTCTTAATATTTTTTTTGCCATTGGAATTTTCCACATACCACTGCCATCACCTCCCCGCTCGATACAACCACAATTCTTGATAAACAGTCAAATTCCAAAGCTTTGGTATATAGTTCAGCATTAACTTTAACAATGAAAGATTTTGAATAGTTGCCAATTGTAATAGTTGTAACAAATGATCGCTAGCTTCCGGGTCCCCTGGATCTTGCATGGATCTTGGACAAATTGTGGTTTCTTTGTTTTTGCCAGATGCCCTCTGAGGTCCATGTGCATTCTCTTAATATCGCAATATTAAAATCCAATGATATCATTGCATGTAAATAGACATAATATCATACTGTTTGTGTTACTGAAAATGTATTTATTAATATTTAGTGAAATCTTCATCACCAAGAGAAAACATATTTAAATAACTGATTTAATGAAATTCATTCTTTCACATCTGTGCTAGTAGCTATAACAGCAATGTGATAAAATAATGATGGTACATGGAATAAAGGAATCACTAATATGACATCTTTTATTTTCAGCCACCATGATGGAAACATTTGAAATTAATGATAAATTGATGAGATTTTTTGATCACTGTGAAAAATTTGTACGAGACATTGAAAACAATGATTCGGCATTACATGAGGTCGATGCCTTTAAGGAAGGCCCTGAGATGAAGAAGATAGTGAATAAAACTGCACATACTTTGTGTCTACCATTGAAAGACTTAAATGCAGGTAATGCCCAGTCTTTGAACTCTTGAAGCTTATCTGTGTTTGCTACCTGTCTTCAGTTATTACGAAGAGCAGATGAACATGAAATGTTAAACATGGTAATATCACTTGAACTTGAACCTCTTCTGTGCCAGCATATCCCAGTTGTGTGCGTTATGGCTCACGTGATGTTTGCCACCAAGAGTGAAAACTGAAACCTAATTCATGTTTATGTGGTAGCCTGGAGAGAGGAGACAGACGTTTACCATTGAGTTCCATTGGTTGGAAAGGCTTTGTATGATCAAGTGTGGAGTACAGAAAGGAAGTAACCTGTCAGCAATTTTCATGCAAAGCTCAGGTAATACCATCCCCAAACATGTAACTGCTGCAGAACATCCACAGCTAGTGAGCTGAGCGGCTACTAACGAATATTATCCTTGCCATTGGTCATTGTTTATCTTTTATTTTAGTAAGATTTGTGTAAATTATGCTGCAGATAGTGGGATCAGTGTCTCTTCAAAAACCTGGGTAGGAGAAAAATATTAAAAATCATCAGAGTTACAGCATGGAGTTATATAAGCAGTATATCATGAATGGTAAATAATAAGTGCAAAAGTAGGGTAAAGGATTCTGTTGTCCTAGTTTACTTATATATAGCATGCATGCTTATTTTGAATAGTATGTTAGTATCTGCCCACATATAGGAATGTAGAAAAGATAGTATATTAAGTTTCGGGTTGTAGTCCACACCTTGTAGCTTAAATTAACAAACATTTGAACCAAGCTTGCAAGCATCTCCAGAAGATACGTCCCTATAAAATGTCTATGTTCTTGCTTATACTAATCAAACAAGTTCACTGCAAACACTTAATACCCATCTGCATATCATTTATGAATAATATAGATAAATTTATATTAAACACCTGGGTTCACGTGTCCGTCTCTTTCTGCCACTTCATACTTTATACATCTTGACTCCTGACTGTAAATTGTAGATACAAAAGCTGTCGATAAATCAACAAACTCTATATGGCACTATATATTCACCAATGGAATTGCAAGTTGTCTGGGAAAAGAGGGAACAACTTGGTTTGTGGTTCTTTGTGTTTTACTGCATTGTTTCTCTGTACACAGTGTTCGATTCCTGGATTCCTGTTTCTGTTTCATTTTTTCTTCTCTGATATGGTAATATTGTAAATAAATGTTTTGCCCTTTTTTGAGGTGGTCTTTTTATCTTTCCATTTCTGAATGAGTATTTTAACAACTGAATTAGTTTATTACTATCCTGTTAGTCAGCTGTTCCTTTTTTCCCCTTCAGATTTGGTTCAAGTGGCATTTTTTACTTGCTCATTTGGGCTAAGTATAAAAAACATTAGCTCCCCCTGGTGTTCGCTGTTCAACAAAGAAGATGCCAAGGTAAGCGTTGAATATTACTGTATCCCTAAGTAATTTATTGTGAAATACCAGAGTATCACATCTAAACTGGCATTTTTAATGCAACAGAATGTTTAATATTTATTTCTAGGTACTTGAGTATCTGAATGACCTCAAACAGTACTGGAAGAGAGCCTATGGATATAATATTAACAGTCAGTCCAGCTGCATACTTTTCCAAGATATTTTCAAACATTTGGACCAGGCAGTTACAGAGAGCAAAAGGTATTTTTGGAGGGCAGGGGAACACTGCTTTGGGACTGATAATTGACAATCATAGATTGGCTGATTGATACTTGATAGTGTGATGGAATGGTTGAGTGAAGGCCGTGCTCAGGGAGATATGCATTTCCTTAGCTCCCAGAATGAGCATGGGAAGGTGAAAAGGATGAGACTGACACCACCCTAAGGAATTCGCAGTGTTTGCTTGCTGGCTTGGGAAGTTTAGATTCTGTCTTGTAGGTGGAAGCTAATAAATTCAATAGAATGTTATCTGTACTGTCTCATGGAGTTCTTTGGGCTGAACCTGACAGATAGTAATATATTGGCTCTGACCACTATGTTTTGTTTGTATCTAGTATTTGTATCCAACATTTTAAGCATTTTAATGTTTTTAAAAACAAATGTAAGTCTGAAATATTTTTTGCTATATAAGCCATAATCTAAGATGTAGGATTTTTTTTATATATTGAGGTTAGAACAGCTTCCCATTGTTTAGACAAATTGGGGTTCTCCAATTCTTTATTCAATCTTCAAAATGCACATATCAAGTTGATTGATCAATAATAGGTATTTATAAAGACTAATCATGGGTGTATTTGTCTCATGGTATTTAGTGATCACTCCTAATAAATTGGTGGTCTCTGAAGGTAAAAATGCCACTGGTCCAAATCAAGGATTAAATATTCTAGTTGTAAATGCTGCCGGTGTATGGTTTCCTTTTTACACAATAACTTCTTATTTTCAGGCTCAGATACTAATAAATACGTTGGTCACAAAGAAAGTTCTACTTTGGATTCCTAAGTTTTGCCTAGTTGCTTTGCTGTTTAATTAACCAGCACGTAATGTTCATGTCAATGAGCATTAACTTATATGTCTAGCTCAAGTATTATTTGGTATATTTAAAATTCCTGTATTCTTGCATGAACACCCTCTGGAAATAATACTGTTTAGTGGTCTAAAACTGAAACTGCATGTTACAGCCAATAGTTGTTATGATTGATAGATTGATTAATGGATGGATGGATGGATCAGTCTTACTTTGTGCTAGTCATCTCTTCAGTAGGGACTTAATCCTAAATAAACATAGAAGATCAGTAAAACAAGGATCTTCAGCCATTGGACTATATAAAATACAGCAGATATAATTTAGAAGTATTTACAATTAATTACATTTTTAGTACATGAAATGGAGATTTTTTTAAAAAATTACCTTTTATTTTTAATTTAATGTATGTTACCAGAACAGAAGACTTTGAAATGGGTATTACGATCTAAAATAAAAATAAATTATCCTGATTATGGAATAATTCAGAATTGATTGATTGAGAAACTATGGAGATAAGGTCCATGTGTTGCTATGGGTATAGGATAATTGTTGCCCAAAAGGATCATTTCTTCCTCGGTGGAAGTGCATCTTATAAAAGACAAGTTGCAGTAAGGCTGGGTTTTTATATAGATGCCAGTATAAGAGCTATTCATCCTTTTTATGAACCAGTAAGCTGCAGGAGGTTGCTGATGACTCAGGATCGTAACTAGCATTGATGATCTTAGTATTAGGGACAAGTGTCCCCCAAATATACTTTATATAACAGACCTTATGTCAAAAGTGGAATTTGCTGTGATATACATCATTTTATTTTAAAAAGTAAATTCAATCTTATCTAGCAATTACATTACTTTTTAGTTTTCGGTCTTAAGTTATCAGAAGCAACAAAGAAGTATTTGCACTGGTCAACTTCTGCTGTAAAGTAGATATATTTCTAGTCTGTCTTCTAAAAGCAGAATAGAAAAAGTGTCCCCTTTGCAAATGCTTCCTACATAAAGGTATGTGACCTGTATGCCTGTTACATGTTTTGTAATTTGATGTCTAACCTGTGGATGAGAACATTACACTAACCTGGATTGTGGTAGACCATTAGCATTGGTCTTGAATGATCTGTGGGGAGGCTTACTTTCTTCTGCAGTTAGTGTTCCAGCCCTGTCTATACTTGCAGGCTCTGACTTCACCTTTGGTTCTTTGTTATAGTCCATATGGACAATCCATGCATGGTGTGTATTTCTCAGGAGCTTCCTATACTGCCTAGCAGATAGCCATGATTTTGCTGATACAGAATCTTTAAACCTGACTGCAAAGTAGGTGCTGTGATAAATGATTATGGGAACAGGGCTTTTTACATGTCAGTTGGGTTGCTCACAACTTCTCAAACAACTGTCCTCATCTTGATTATGGATAAAGAGTGGAGGCCAGGGCTAGAAGCAGCACTGGTACTGGCTGTTTCTATTTTGACCCTGGATTCTGACAAATACCAGCTGTAGTCACACCCATTGCAATGCAGCCCTTGATTCATTGCTCATGAGACCTTCTACTCATGGCCGTGTACATCTCTGATTTAAAAAGATTACCTGCCTTAGTACTGTAAATCCAACAAACATTTAAATTTTATCTTCCTCACGCTATAATAATGAGGATAAATTTTACCCATCATTTAACCTGGGCACAACTATTTTCAACAGTTACAAAATATTGCACATCTTCCATTGTCTCTCTTATAGGTATTGTATACAAATTAGCTCCATTGTATATGTGGTCCAATACCTTTGAAGCTCTCACAACACAATCATAGTAGAGTTTGCTCAGACATGCAGTGTGAAAGGAAGGATAAACAGCAAAGCACATTTCTGTTTCTAAGCTACTCTGAAGAATAGTGAGCCAAGAGATTATAGAAGCTGGGCTTAGGTGGCTAAATTTGTCATGATTCACGGTAGATAGTTTGTGTTAAATCTTGGTAATCATAGAATCTACAAATACAGCCATATGCTTTCAGAAAGCCATGGAATGAAGGTGAGAATTTGTATCTTGAGGGAAGAAAACGAGCATGCTCCCAGCCTATTATAATTACAATTAGGAATGCTATATTTGCTTTGGCCTCAGTTTATACCAAAAGCATTTAAGGCTGAGCTACACACAAGAGTTGTTACAGTACTCTCCCATGGCTATTTTGGTTTTAATGAGACTTGCAACACATGGTGTTCTGTCTCCTAACACTTGATGGCGGTGTAAATACAAGATGTTAGCATACAGTTTCATAATATTGTATTAGGTTATGTAATTCAGAGTGTCCAGTTCTTCTTTATATTTCTGAATAAATATAAACCTGGCATAGGAAAGGGTTAGGTAATTTTGGCCTTTTACATAAAGTAGGCTGAAGCACAGCTGGGTTTAGTAAATTAGTTACTCAGCCCAATCTTCCTCATCAAGTCTATGCTATTGTGGGAATAAAATGAAGGGAGATCCCCATGCCTTGAGCTCTTGGAGAAAAGGCAGGATATCAATTTAACAAATAAGTAAATAAAATGTTGTAAGTAATAATTGTTGAAGCATAGTCACACTTACCTGAAGAACTACTGAGCATTGTTGCACAGGATTAGAATCTACCTGTCTATTTGGCAGGAACTACATGAAGGATTTTGGTGCCATTTGAACTGCATTTTACACAAAATGGAAACTAAGCCAGATAATTGAAGTATAATTCAGGCTCATAGTGTAAGTTGCTCTCTACTGTAACCCAAGAGGTCTTTATATTGGTAGACTTAGTAGTATTTGCAGAGGGGGAAGAGGCTTTACTTAGTGTACTTTAAATTGTTCACTTAAAACAATTAGATACTGCTACTGTAGGAGATCTAGGGGGCTCTCGGCAAACTGGGAGCTCTGTAAGTACTCCACTGTTAAAGCCACTGACCTCTTCTGATGAGACAAGATGGATGAGGTTAATGTGGAGGAGTTAGACATTTTGTTGTCTCCAATCAGCTGGTTGACCTGGAAGATCCTTAGCACAGCTAAAGAATGTGGAAGCATATTTTTACCAGTTAGATCTGAGATTCAGGCATAGGGCCAAAAGGCCTTGGGAGAACTATAACCAATTAAGATAAATTTGGTAGGGAAAGACAGATGCTTCACAGATCTTCTGCTTTGTTTTGTTTTTTCCCCCAGTACTGCTTTGCTTGGTGTTGTAGCTTTTGCTCCCATTTTCTGCCCCTGTAACTCTTTATTTCTTTGCTCAGCCTGTTTACAAGTTAATGATTTCTGGGTTTTGTATGCAGATTTCAACCTTATGTAACTTTGTGTAGTTAGCCTATTTCTTACATTCTTCCTTTGTTGCCTTTCTTAAAATACAGATTCTTTATTCTTATACTCCAGAACCACCTGGGCTTGATAAACTTGGTTAAAAGGAAAAACTGGAGCCTTTTATTTAAAAGCTTCATCTTGGGGAGGGCACAGAAGAATGAAAAACGTTCTGCTGTTTATTCCCAGTTTGTAGATAGTGTCTAGCTGTTAGTTTTTGTATTATGTCTGAGATACACTATAGGTAATCCTTACTTAATTATGGTAACTGGGACCAAAATTTCCATCACTGAGTGATCCAGTGCAATGTACAGGCGGGGAGTGGGTGCTGTGTGCGAGAAAGGGCCGTGTGCACTACAGAGTGCGGGCAAGGGATTTTGTACTCCATAGCAGGCTTCTTGGGATAAAAAGCAGCAGAAGTGACTTATGGGAGTGACTTGCAACCTTCCTGGTCAGCTTCTCCATTGACTTTGCTTGTGGGAAGCCGGCAAGGAAGGTCTGAAATGGCGATCACATGACTGTGGGACATTGCAACCATCATAAACATGAGCTGGTTGCCAAGTGCCCAGTTCATGATCACGTGACCATGGGGATGGTGCGATGGCTGGAACGTCAAGGACTGGTCCTAAGTACCACTCATTCAGCTCTGTCGCAACTTTGAACAGTCATTGAACAAGTAGTCGTTAACCAAGGACTACCTGTAAAATAGTTTTATAGACATGAGATTTAGTAGCAAATACAGAGTTTGTACAGAGGCTTTTCCAAACACAAGGGCAGCATGAAGATCTCTGAACAGATATGGCTAGGAATACTACTGGATTCTTCTTTTTCCTTTATAGTGTTGTTGCTTTCCTTTGTCTCCAATGGAATGCAGGAAAAT